GTGTGTGTGTGTGTGTGTGTGTGTGTGTGTGTGTGTAGGTGAATGGTGTAGACATGACAGGCCGCAGCCAGGAGGAACTTGTAGCCATGCTGCGCAGCACCAAGCAGGGGGAAAGCGTTTCTGTGGTGGTGGCCCGGCAGGAGGACATGTTCATGCCGCGGGAGCTGGTAAGAAAGCATGGAAACAGACGTTTTTTACATCACACAAAGCTAACACCACTGCCTTCACTGATCTTCTGTCCTGGGTGTCCCTTTTTCATCTGTCTCCATCGTTTTCTTTCTTTTAAGCATTTCCTTTGCATTGTGTCAGTTTGTCTCAAAGGAGCAAAGCTGTGTATGTTGAAGCCCTTTGGTACCAAATGCAAACAAACTCCGGGTACGCTCTGGCCTTCCTGTACCCCCACCCCCCCTTCTGGGTTGTTGACACAGCAATGCCAAAGGAAGTCACGCACACGAGGCACAGCAGCCTGGCAGGAAGCGTGTGAGCGTGTCGGCGCTTGTCAACACGCCGCAGTCGTAAAACGACCGTTTACCTGCTGCGCCTGGCGAGGTCATAGGTCGGCGTCAGGCCTGTGAAACTGACACACTTTGACTGCACCTCACGGGACATTTAATCAATAAACACACTTTTAAACACATCCACACAGCCATGATGGCCGTTTAAATACCTAAGCTGCCTGGAAATGGTGGGTTTTTTTGCCTTTGAGCTTCTGTTCTCGTCCTCTGTGACTACTTCAAAGCACCAAGTAAAGACTGATGCATATTCACACCTAGAGTGGCTGCGCACACCAACTCCCCAAGTCCTTGATAAAAACTTGAACACAAGTGCTCTCTCTCTCTCTCTCTGCACAAGCAGATGAAAACTCCAGACATCTTTTAAATCGCTAAGTTGCTGCTTACAAAAATAGTTTGCCCTCGTTAATGTCCCAGCAGTCTCAGCATAACAAGTGTGCTTTGAAGAGCCTCTACAGCCTCCATCCAACACTTGCTTGCATTTCTGCATTAGAGAGAGACAGTTAAAGGGTTGTAGGGGAGGGGGAGGGTGGTGATCTGACCCTCGAATTCAGCCTTGTTCTCCACCTCAATAAAATACAAATCTGGACTGCAACAAATGCTAAAGTAAAAAAAAAAGACATAACCACAGGCTCACCTGTAATTCAGGCTTACATCCGTAAAAAAATAAAATAAAATCAGGCTCTCTGCCGGTGATTTAGCAGACATTTCTCTGGACCTACCAGAGGCACAGCTTTCACTTTAAACACACTAGACAGACCTAGTAGCCAATCAGAAATCAGGTGGGGTGGGACTTGGATATTGGCATTTCTTTGCTTCAGATCCACCAGACATTTGAGTGGTGATCAAAATAAATGAATTTATTTTGTCGAAGAAGTTTGAACAAGAACTGGAAACAATATCAAAGCTGACAGATAAAAAAACAGTGGTCGGAGAAGAAAACGGCAGGATGTTCACTGATTCTTTCACCTGAGATAGACGAGCTGCGCAGGTGGATGCTAGCGTTAGCTGAACAGTAGCAGACAGGAGGAACATACAGGAAGATGTCTCGTGACTTTTATAGCAGTGACCCAGCAACAATATCCAACCAACAGGTGTGTGTTTACAGGAGAAAATGAGACAGGTGTTGCAGTGCAGGAGTGCAGCCCGTCTCCTTATGTTGCTTTAGTTCTTGGAATTTAACAACATTAACACTGATTTATTTGTTTAAACAAAAATGTAGCAAAGGTGTGTCTGTTTGTTTTGATTTTATTTTTTCTATAACCCTCAATGTTCTCTCTCTGAATTAATCAGTTTTTAGTTCATCATAAATATCAACTATTTATACAGTATTATTCTACTGTTAAAAACAGGCCATTTGGACATTTTAATGAACATCTTTTATATTTAGAACCAGACTTTATGAAAACTGTAATGCAATTAATGACCAAATATGAAATGTAAATGACATTTTTCTCATAAAATCTGTTGATTTTGTTTTCCCAGTGAGGTTTCAAGAGTTTTTAGCTATAACAAAGATCATAAATTACCCCTTTTAAACATTAAAACGTTCATAATACACACTTGATGCTTGGTGATAAAAGTCGACACTGGAAGGTTGGTTTTGCAGTTGTGTTAAATTCAAAAGGATCAAATTTCAATAATTTATCATAAGTAATCCTTTGCTCAGTACAAAATTACTTAAAACTGCATTTTTCTTAATGGGCTTGATTGATAGTTATCTGCCTTTAAATTTGTTTTTGCTGGTATTATCAGTGTATATGCAGATAGTAATGGGATTGTGTGTGTGGGTGGGGTAGGAAAAAATTCAGGGTCAGGATTTTTTCCACTCTCAGCCCTGTAGCCGTTAGAAAAATAAACTTCATAATTGAAAAGGGTTGACAAAAAAATCGGCACGACCTCTGATCTTCTGAGCATTTGTTTGATGATTTTTGTCATGTCTTAAATCCAGTTTGATTCCTTGTGATGTTTTCTGCTCCTTCTTAGTCTCAGCACCTCAGTGAACTCAATGCTTTATTACATTAGAAACCATTCAGACTAAATAGCAATTGAATTTATTAAAAAAACATGTTGCTTGTAAAATAGTTGCCAAATTTCCACCATTGTATTTTTCACGAAGTGGGGGCTTAAACGTCACATTCAGGAGGACATTATTTGAAAGCCGTTAAGATATTTCACATGAAACAAAAGCTGTTGCATCAGGGATGACCAGAAGACATCCATGTTAATCCTCTCAAGAACTTGAGCTTTTGAAAAAAAAAAATACATTTCATGGCAACATTTGTTGGAATATTTCAGTCTGGCGTTTATATTTCAAGAGTTCTGCTGCTGGTGTGACTGATATGTGTTGGTGGAGGGAATCCACCGGAGCATCACCGTTTTTATTCTCACTTCAATTCACCATCACTGTACCTGCCTTGTTTAAGGAAAGTAGACTTTCATAGAAAGGTTTGATCAAAACGGCTATTACTCCTCCTCCTCTTAAGGCTGTTTTATACTCCATTCAAAGTGACGACATAGACTTACAGTCACTTAGTGGCGAGATGTTCTTTTACACAGGCACCTTTCAAAGTTCACAAGACACACAGCACAAGAGGGAAACCCCTCATGCTGCTGTGCACGCCACAATATGGGTTTCTCACTCTGCCATTCAGTTCACTGTTTGACCACACATCTGTCACAGATGGAGCACCATGCACATCTGTGCTATCCAACCAGGAGTTCTGGCCATTTGACTATCTTTATAAGTTTCTGGAAGTGTCATCTATGGTCTTTTTGCATTGTAAGGCTTGGTCTGGGTTCAAACCTGAGTTCATTGTGTTTGCATTATATGGCCCAATTCCAGCCTGATATCTGGAACACCGAGACCTGTGATTCTATTTGGGCCCAGGCTGCTTGGCCTGATTAGATGTCATCTACTGTTGCTCATTGATTGGTTCACTGACTGAGGGAGCCACGTTACACAGATGAGATTAACTTTACATGAAACGTTAGCAGCAACTAACGATTTTTCACACAAGTCCAACTATTCAAAAACAAGCTAACATATTAGCTATCATTAGCTTACAGTCCTCTGTCAACCTGCCCTCTCGTCTTCAGCGTCATACTACTGGATGTTCGGGTACAGTCTTTGGTACTTTTTCTTTGAGCTCGATGTCATTCATTGTGCGTGTTGCAAAAAAYAAAACAAAACAAAACAAAAAATGATTCCCCCATTAATATGATGATCCCCATCCAYGTCGAGGCGGGACGTTGCTAAAGGCAAACATAACCAGGGCCAGGGTAGGATAAAGCTAAGTGTGGCTGGGCTTTAAAATCCACAAAGGCCAACTGATGGACATACTGTATTTTGTGATGGCCTCGGACAGCTGCTCCTAAAAACTAAACGTGCTGCATGGATGCACAACTACCATCTTCTAGAAGTAAAGTAGTTGAAGCAAAATGACACCACTGAGGTCCAAGTGCTTTTTTACCTGAACAAACATGCCCGTGAACTTCTTAATCACACAATAATTTCCACATTCTCCTGTAAAAAGATTCAAACCGGACCTCGGGTCTAGAAGAGGTGGACCAATCTACAACGAGATCAAAACGATGCAATTTTTGCCTCACAACTTACATCAATGAGAGCTGATAGCTCGGCTTTTGGCTGGATCATGAAACAACTTTTAGTTTACACCACTGGCGTAAAAGGTGGCGGGTGACGTGCATTCCTTCAGGGCACCCTAAGCTTTTTATGTTTCCACGAGAAACTCGGTGTTTCTGTGAAAGCTGTGTTCTCTTTGAATCAAAAGAAGAACAAGCCTGTGAACTATCCTCGTTTAGAAAATACAAAAAGACGGTAATTTTCTACCCCATTTCTTGTAGTCGCTCACGCTCTCGAAGTAATTAAAAAGTGATAAGTTCTAATCACAGTTCCATTCCTGTCAGCACTTCTGCATCTCCTCATTACTTCACACAACCTCTTTTGTTCTTTTGTCTCAGGGTAGAGATGAGGCAGCTTTTTTTTTTTTTTGTTAAGAGGATGATTTAGTTGTTTGAGTGAAAGTGTGTGTCAGGGACAGGATGGTGGGTCACTCTGCACATGGTTGACCCCCCCTGTTGCCAGCAGGCCTAGGTCAAATGACAGGAAGGGAGGATTTCAGGAAGATTTTGTTTTTTGTTTGTCGTCTTTTAGTGCCATCCTTCAACTGTTTTCCTTCCATGTGAATTATCCTTCAGTCGCCGGTTCTTTTTTTCCTTCTGTTTTTTTGTTTTCATTTCCCATCATCGCGAGGTAAAGGTGTAAAGCTGCAAAYAGGCAGACATTAAGGCGATTAATTGGCAGCTCCGTCGCCGCCGTCGAGCGCAGCGAGATCTCATCTTAATTGAATGTCGCTCTCACCGCTAATCCCCCTCTGCTTTGAAACCTCACATTTAAAAACCCTAAGCGACAAAAGCCTGTGTGTAATCGCTGTGCCCCCTCCGCACCCCACTCCCTCACCACCCACTCGTTGTGGGGGTGGGGGTGGGGGTGTAAGAAAAAGCTCCTCATTGTCTTCCTCATTTGGATGTTAAGGAGGGTGGTCTCAGTCTTGGCTAAAAGCTTGTTAAAGAGCTGTTTCTGAGGGCTAACGGTGGATGGAGGAGGGGTCGCAGAGTCGAGTCGAGGGGTCCCGGCCACTGAAGATCCAATTTGCCCCCAAGGAAAGGGCATTAGTGGATTTAGACAGTACGTTTCTGTATTTGGACCACCACTGAGAACCACTTAGTTGTATAAACTGATTAACTAAGTCCTGATAAATAAACATTTTTAGTTTTATTTTAAGTTTCATGCTTCCTCCAATGCTTTAAAAGTACGCAGCGCTCTGATTTGTCCCCTTTCACCTTTTGTGTTGTTGCAACTAAAACCTGAAGGTATTTAAAACCTCCCATGATGTCACCTGAGTCATCTGAAGTGTCTGTCAAACAGGAAGAGGCAGATTGTCTCTTGTTTTTCTGCTTTTAGGAAGCAGCACCCTGAAAAGCCTTGYTGATAAAAATAAGCTCAGATTGAGGGAGGTCTAATTATACTGAAGTAGAAAATAAACTCTGCAGTGTTTGAGGCAACACACAGTTTGCCTCATTTGTCTTTATATTATCTCAGTTTTGGAAGATAATAATCAGTAGAGTCAATATTTGGTTTTCTCAGCCAGATATGCGTCTGGCTGTCAACACAAAGCTGTAAAGTTTGGGTGACGTGGAACGCAGAGGGGCAGTAATGGATTTGCCCACAAAAATTGCTACAAATCGGTCGGTTTTATTGATATTGGMGTAAAATTAAATTTGTAAGACCCTGATTACATGTAAACGATCTCTGAAATATTAAAGGTTTTTCAGTGTTGATTGTAAAAAAGTTACACATTTACACAGTAAAAGCGATCTCAGACGATGTTTGGATGAGACAGCAAAAAACTGCGAATATGCTGTAGTTTCCACTCCAGGTGACTAGCTGGCATTGTGAGTTTTGTATTTTAATACTAGGCGAATGTGCTCAGACATTTAAAAATAAAATATGAAAATATCAAGTGCACATACGTTTGTTTGGACAATTTAATATTTTTATTTCAAACTTTATTAATTTCTTAAACAAAATTCTATATACAATAAAAAAGAAAGAAAATTTGTCTCCTCTGACCTGAGAGATGGCGTAGCCCATGTGTGTGTGTACTCTGTCAGAAGCTTTAATGAATTAAAACAAGTGAGCAGCACAAATGGAAAGGAACTGTTGCTGTTGTTGATTTATTAGCGTAAGCACAGAAAAACTATTGACTGCAGCTGTCTGTAGCACTCACGTGGGATTTTTGACTTTAGACAATGTCGAGTGTTACCAGAAATCTGCACTCTGACACCTGGATATAAACACAGACTGCTGTTGTAATGAAATGAATAGTTCAGAAAAGGAACTGAATCAGGTACAGGACACAGGTCCAGTACTAAGTCTTAAATGTTTATTTCCACACAGGTAATCATAGAGCTGTGGTCCATCTCATCCACGAGCAGACAAAAATGGCCCAGAGTCTCTTACTTATTGAACCCAGGTCTCACCCTGGAGATGATGTCATACCCCTAAAACAGTTTAATATTTCTGAAATAAAAACAGTGTTTATAGTGTTGGAGAAAGTGCGTATTATGATTGAGCCTTGTTGATTCTGTTACTGGTTACAATAAATGATCACAACTCTTCACAAAGTATAAGATAAGTCTATTTAAAATTCAGGTAATTGTCCACAAAATATCCAATATTGGTGTACATGAATGAGCTTCCGCATGTTACTAAAAATGAGTTTTAGAAGCATTTTTATAAAAGTTTGACCTCACTGCAGGATGAGATGTAGGATAACGTTAATCTTGACCTAAACTATCCTAACTAACCTAGATTTACAATCTGTGTGAATTCAGACTGATTTAGTCACAGCAGGAGAGTGTCACTTTCATGTAAACACTCTTGATTGCAACTCTACCACTGCTCAGCTTTAACTCTTTGATTTTCATCAGTAAACCTGATAAATGCTGGTTACAATTGTGAAAAAGTGTTTTCCATCAGTTTGCACCTAATAAGCACCCTCTTGTCAGCTGTTTTATATCAAAGCGACTAAATGGATCAATGTGTCACAGCTCATCAAGATTTCCTTTTGCTCCATTACATTTAGTGCCTCTGGCTTTAAATGCAGCCCCAACCCACCCAGCTTAAAGGCTTCACACTGCTTTTTTGTTTTAATTAGGACAAAGCAGAACCAAATAAAGCTGTCAGGAAGAGGACACAGAAATTGTCTCATAGCAGGTTGAGGAGGGAGCTCCTATAAATGTGCATTTCTCAAAATTATGCTGGAAGATTTGCTTGTCCTTCAGATTTGTGTCATGATGAGAGAGAACTGAGAATTCCTGGTTCAAGGTGTGTGATGCAAGACTTGTGCAACCGCTCTCTGGGTGCTTAGATCTTTAAGTCTGTAACAAGTGGTGAGGCAGGCCTAATGTAAGTTCAGATTCTTACTAAATTTACTTGTTTATCACGTGTGTGAAAGATGGGTGATGTCTTTGCCTGTGTCTGGTCTGTGTATGCATGCGTTTGTGCTGCTTTGTTATTGAGGAGGTGTCAGATGTTGAGCTATGATGTGGTAGAACCTGAGATTCATTCCAATATGTTAGTTTTTGGATAAATTGTTGCAATCTTTATAAACAAGTAAAAAAATGTTAGATTCCATCCATCCATCCATCCATCCATCATGGGTTCCTCTTCCTGCAGGCCCACCATCTGCAGGGTGGGCCGTTGTTAAATGCTATGAGTGGCAGCTGAAGGTGGAGTCTTGGTGCTCTTACCCTAGCTTACCATAAATCTTAGGTTCCTTTTCTAAAATAAGGAAATAAAATGGTCTTCTCCCTTTTTTCCCCGGGTGACTAAATCCTAGATTTGCATCATTTAATAAGAGACCTTTTCTCCTTTCGTACTTTTTCCCTTCTTCCTTCCATCTCATTTCCAGAGCAGTGCTGCTGCCACTGCGGTCATTTCCCTCCCATCATGTCTCAGTGGATGAGTGGGGCAGGTAGGGGGTGGGGGGTATGTGAGAGACCTACAGGAAGAAGACGAAGCAGGTGGAGAGCGGGGGGGAATAAAATGTACAGAAAAGGTGAGAGATGTGAATAAAATGTGAAGAGTAAGGGAGGGTGGCGTATAAATGAGAAGTGGGTATACCTCAGGGAAGGGTTATTACTTTTAAATGCTCCTCTGTGCCACTGCTCTCCCCTCCTCCTCTTCTTTTTTTTCCGCCCCCTGATTCCCCCACTGTGCTCCAGGAGGAGGTATGAAAAGGTTATTATGTTTCCTTTAGAAATGGCTCACTCTCCGTCTGTGCCTTTCATCTCTAAATGGAATAACCTCTCTACAGTCGCTTTCTTCTTATTCTCATTGCACCTTCATCTCTCTTACCAATAGTCAACACGTACCACCTTCTTCTCCTTCTCCAGTCTTTCTTTCTTTCCTCCCTGCAGCTACCTTTGATCTGACTATTTAATCCGCTTCTCTTTTCCTTCCTTTTATATTTTTGTGGCTCATAGTGTTGAATATAATCAATGTACTGTTGGCACGCACCTTATCAGCCAGATATAGTTCTCCCTGTGCAGCTATCGTGCACAGTGSTGTTGAGTATTAACAGGCTTTATTATTATTTTTATGTACACTACATGTCCTTTTTATTCTCTTTTTTCAGAAGAGCGATGAAGCGAGCAGTCAGGTGGTGGAGGACGGACGGGAGCAGCTGATGTATGAAATCCCGCTCAACGAGACGGGCTCGGCCGGCCTGGGGGTCAGCCTGAAAGGGAACAGATCGAAAGAGACCGGAGAGGACCTGGGTATCTTCATCAAGTCCATCATCCATGGAGGGGCTGCTTATAAGGTAGAGACCCACATAGCAACATTTGTCTGGTCCAGTTCTGGCTCACGCATTGCACTCTRACACGCTAATAATCGGCCCAGGTGACCCTGATGTGGTTTGCCAGAGGTGGTCTATGAATGGGCCAGCACCACATAAACCAAACTACAACCGGGCTACTTGTGGCATATCATCTTAAAAGCAGTGCCATTTTTGCTGTACCTGGCCCACATCTGGTTGACAAACCATTTGCCATTTCCATCAGTCAGCCAGCAGGGCCAGCTTGTTACCAGATCTGACCCACACCTGTCAGAGCTTTGTGTGATGGAGCTTTGTTCGGCTGCTAGTTATGAAGGCCTTCATACTAGTTTTCTTCAGCTTTTTTGTGTTTTTTGTCCACTTTCTCTTAAAACTATTTTTCCACTTTGTTGTCTTTTTTATCGTTAATCATCTTTTTAATACCATCTTTTTGTATTTAACTTTTTTGAACTTTCTGTTTTGTCTTTTTTAAATCTGTAACGTTTTTCTCTTCATTTTGTTTGTCTTGAAGTTTTTGAGTATCTTGGTCCTTTTTTTTGTCTTGACCTTCGCCTTCTTGTTTTTAACTTTGTCATCTCTTTTGTCTTTTTGTCCTTATCTTGGTCTTTTTCTTCATCTTCACTTTCACAATCCTCTTTGTTGTCTTGGTATTTTTTTTATCTGCTTCCTGTTAGGTGTCTCTATAGTGGATCATTTGCTTCACTCTATCCCAGAATCCTCTTCTGTCRCATCAACTCTGTTTGACCTCCTTCGTTACATTCATGAACCTCCTCTGTGGTTTTCCTCTCTTCTTTCTGCTCCATATTCAACGATCTTCATCCAATATATCCATCTTTATTCTTCTGCTCATGTCCAAACTCCATCTTCTCTAACTTTATCTCCAAACCATACATAGGAGGTCTCCCTGCTGTGTGTAAACTTTCCCTTTCACTCTCGAAGCTGTCACAAATCATCCGGACACTCATCTCCATCCTCTTCACAGCTTCATTGTTAAACATCTTATTCACATGAGGATATATTCCATCTTGCTTCTACTGTTTTCCACTTCTCTGCTCTCCAGAGCAAATCTCCACTTCTCCAGACTCTCTTCCACCTGTTTGCTAATCTCACTACAGCTTACAGTGTTATCTGCAAATCTCATACTCCATCATTCCTAACCTCAGTAAGTAACAATTAAATCCATATTAGCCTGTTTCTTTGCAACATAAATGGATTTTATTACCTGTTTTTAAAGCTCACCTTAGCTTTTACTTTTGCGTCTCATATTCCCCCTTTAATGTCTGTGGCATGTTAATATCTGCAGCGACAGTACTTTGCTCTCAGATCTCATTAACTTGATGGGCATGCTGTTCTCATGAACGACGCAAACGATACCAAAGCTGCACAAGGGATCTAATAAACCTGATGTGTCCTCTTCGATATGTGTAATTTATGTCTTCGTCTTTCCACAATCACCACAGTCAGTGATAGTGACTGATCAGTGCAACACTTAAAGCATTGAGTAGTAGTAGTCCAGCTGTTGCACCTTTTTAAGCTTTTTGGATCATTAAACGGATTTAAAGTCACTAAATGTTTAAATTTAGCAGCCGTTGTTCTTTAACATGCATGAGAAGTTTGTTTGCWCACCTTTTCTCTCCTTTTCTGTTTTTTTCTGCATTTCTCTGTTTCCTCTCATCCTCTCTGCCTCATTTCCTGTCTTTCTCCAAAAGCCCCGAACCCCTCCCTCCTGGCTTTCCTTGATCTTTGACACCCGCTGACCTCAAGTGGCCTCGTCACATAAGTGCTGCAGCCGTCTTATCTGTGTCACTCAGCGCTCATTTCAAGTTGTGAGGCTGGGGGGGGGGGCGACAAAAAAAATAACATCCCATTTCAGCACTTTGGAGATCCGTCCACTTGGCCTCGATATCTGGAACACGTCAGAAGTTCTCCGGGCTCCCAGATCTGCTCGGAGCAACGAGCAGGAGCGGAGACGAGTGTGCCGTTGCAGATAAACGGCTGGTCTGGGATCAGGACGGCCAGACGGTGGCTCCCAAAAGTGCCCTCAGAAGTAGTTTTTTGCGACAGCTGCAGAAGCGGATAGTGTTCAGACACTAGTAAGATCTCTGGCTGGCTGTGGGGAGAAAARAAAGAAAAAAAAAGCAGGTCTCCGGAATGAGATACCACATAAGAGGAGACATGAAGGAGGAGAGGCAGACATGGAGAGTGAAGGATGAAAAAATGAAAGGAGAGCAAAGGGAGAAAGAATCCAAAAAGAAAGAAAGCAGCATTATTGTACAATAAAGAGATGCGATAAGACGGAATAAAAAGGACAGAATAATTCCAAAAATATGTTTTAATTTTGATGCATGCTAATGAAAAGCAGCTGAGACGTCTGAGGAGGGAAAAGGACGTCCCCTGAGTCTGACTGACACACAGAACCGATAACACACAAACAAACAGAAGGAGATGAGGAAGAGTCATGTAGAGATCTAACCTATTTCCATTAAGTAGTATTTATGGCTGTCTGCCTCAGTTCTATTGAAAAATCTTAAAATTTATCCCTGGTCCTGTCTGGTGATTGTTTCGAAATTTACATGTGTCACAGTGAAAAAGTTTACAAAAAGGAGTATAAAAATGTGCATGTGTGTTTCATTCTTTGATTTCATGCAGGGACAAATATGTGTTGTTTGGGACTGGACCAGGCGGTGCCTTGGTAATGACTCACAGGTCAAAGGGCAGCACAGACCATCATTGGACGCTCCACACAGACTTAAGAGAAACTAGCTTTTCTTTATCATTAGGTTGACACCCCCACCCCCTCCTCATTTGCTCCCTTCCTTCCGTCCTTCCCTCTCTGCGTCCCTGCAGGGCAGTATTCTGCATCGCCTCCCTACAAGAGGCTGCTATTTAAAACACTTAGAAGTGATTTAGTGCCCGMAGAGGCTATTCCATTAGCTGCTTTATGTATTTATCATGGCTCTCCCACTCTCAGCAGATTGCCAACTCCACATATTTCTTCCCAGTCCCTTCTTTCATTTTCATCTCCTCCTCCCCTACGCACAAACTCATTTCATTCCTTCTTCGGTTTCTATATTTCCCCATCCTGTTTCTTGTTTGAAACTCACCGRGTCACCGTTGTGTGCCCAGTCTTATGGTACTAATACAATAGTACATTATACCACATTGTACTCTACGTATCAAGTTTTCTATTTGTTTTTCAGACATAAACTCAAAGAACTACTTGGTAACACTAGAACCCCACATCTAATGCAGTTAGGACATTGTGTAAAATGATAATAAAAACAGTATGTAACGACTTKTATACCTCATAAACCCATATTTTTTTCACTGCGAAACGAAGTAAACATGTCAGTGTTTAAACTGAGAATGTGTGCCTTTTTTAGGAAATAAGATACTTTTGATTCTGATGGAAGCAACACATCTAGAAAAAAAACAATAGGATCTGATCTTTTACCAACAGTTGCTGGAGGTCTTGGAGGGGAATATTCAGCAGTCCTGCATCTCATTCATTCATCAGTTTGTTTATTTATTTATTTATTTATTTATTGTTTCCTAATGCGTCAGATTGAATTGGTAAAAGATCTGGTTCAGCGTCTGGACTCTTCTGTTTATAAAGTCATGTTGTATGTTGTTTATCCTTGTCTTGCTGAAATCTGCAAGATCTTCCCCGAAAAACTGTCATTTGAATGAAAGATGTTCTAAAACCTGTATATATTTTTCTGCATTGATGATGCCTCTCCAGATAGGAAACCTGCCCATGCCAGAGGCATACTACACCTCCATACCATCAGAGAGGCATCCTATAGAACTGTGTGCTAAAAACAGGCTGGATTGTCTCTCTCCTCATTTGAACTAAGAACATAGTGT